GCTCCGCTCAAACAGGGGGCCTGCCGCATTCGACCGCCTCGCGCGTTCCGCCGGCCTAGTTTGTTACAGTCAGGTGCCTACGGCCAGCCTGCCACCGTTCTGGCGAAGCACGTCGTGTCGAGCCTTCGACACTGCCCGCAAGGCCGTCACACCTCGCGTTTCCACATCCCGAGGAGCTCTCACACGGTCAAGACGCTGGAATGAGGACCAGTTGGGGGCTCAGGGCATCGGTGCACCCAGACGCTTGGGTGGCCGAAAAGCTTGTGTCGTTCCTTCTTGGCTTATTCGGCGTTCCTCTGGGCAGTAGCTTCGCTACTGGGGCGTATCTAGGGCCGTCTTGGTGCTATCTAGGGCTCCTGTTCGGGCATCGAGGCGCTGCTGGGGCCAAAAGACGGCCCAGTAACTTGCTACTGTTGTGGTACTAGTTTCACAGTCGGGGCTTATTTAGGGCCGTCCTGGGGCTGTCTTGGGCTCATATGAGGCATTCTTGGGGATCCCTTGGGGCCCTCGTGGGCCGTCGTGGGGTTCTCTTGGTCCGTGTGGGCCCTCAGGGCCGTCTGGGAGATCTCTTAGGGCCGTCGGGGGGCTGTTCCTGGGGTCATGGGTGGCCGTCACGTGTAACACCCAGGCTTGGGAGAGCCGTGATGAGGACGGTGCGGATTATGATGATGATGATGATGATGATGATGATGATGATGATGATGATGATGATGATGATGATGATGATGATGATGGTGGTGGTGGTGGTGGTGGCGGTGGTGGTGGTGATGGTGATGGTGACGATGATGATGATGATGATGGTCATGGTGATGATGAGTTTGATGATCATGAGGATGATTGTGATGATGATGATGATGATGATGATGATGATTATGTTGGTGTTGCTGTTGGTGATGATGATGGTGGTGATGATGTTGATGGTGATGAAGATGAATCTGATGATGATGATGGTGGTGATGATGATGATGATGATCAAGGTGAACACGGTGATGAAATGAGCAATACGTACAATACGTTGATGTTGATGATGATGAGTATGATGGTGATGAAGAAGAAGCTGATGATTGTGATGATGATGGTGATGATGATATTAGCGATGACGATGGTGACGATGGTAACGATGATGACGATGATGCTGATGATGATGATGGTGATGGTGATGATGATGATGATGATGATGATGATGATGATGATGATGATGATGATGATGATGATGAGGGCCATGATGACGACGCTGTTGGCAGTGCTGATGCTGATGGCGATGATGAAGACTACCAATAGTAATGCTAGTTCCCAGGCAAAAAGAATGATACACATATTGTTACGACTAAGAAAAAGACACATAAGGAGACTACGGCCAAAACTATGACGACTAGCCCTCTTACTACTCATGAGAAAAATACACTGGATTCGAAGACGACGAGATTGATGCTTTGTGGTGTTAGCGATATTGATGATGACGACGAGGATGATCATAATGGCGATGGTGATGATGATGGAGTTGGTGATGATGAGGGTGATGATAGTCATACCGATGATTGTATGGATGATACTGGTGATGATGATGCGGATGCTGATGTTGATGATGATGTTGACGATGACGACGATGATGATGATGGTGCTGATGATGAGGATGCCGATAATGATGATGTTGATGATAGTGGTGATGATGGCCATTATAATGGCCATGCTGATGGCCATTACGATGCCGAGAAGGGGGAGGAGGGAAGAAGAAGGAGGAGGAGGAGGAGGAAGTAGAATGCCGTCGTATGTGACACTTTCCGTCGTCACCATTTGAGGAGCTCTCGTGGAACTCGTTTTGCCCGTCTTGGGGCTGTTTTGGCCTCCTGTGAGGCAGTCGTGGGAGTCCCTGTGTGCCTTATTGGGCCGTTTTGTGGTCCGCAGTCTGGGGGCTCAGTTGGGTCGTGTTGGGGCCTTCTTGGCCGTAGGGTGAGTGTGTGGGGGCCGCCGTGGTGCCGCCTTGGCGCCGTCTTGGGCCGTCGACGGGCTTTTTTCCAATGCAGTCGTGGGTCCCGCGGGAAGCCCTCTTCGGGCCGTCCTGGGTGCCTCTTGGGCCATCGTGGGGTCATCTTGGGCCATCGTGGGGCCCTCTTGGGGGGGGGGGCTCTTGGGCCGTCTTGGGGCCCACAGAATCCCAAAACGGCGAGAATGCGAACATCCTTCGAAAACATGTTGGACATCAGTCAGTTTGGTTTCTTCGGGCCCTGCTGGAGTTCCGTTTGAGGCCCTGTGTGGCCCTCTTTGGCGGCATCCTGGGCAGTTTTGAGACCACAGTGGGCCGCCTTGGGGCCATCTTGGGCCGTCTGCGAGGCGTCGTGGGCCGTCTTTGAGGCGTCTTGGGTCATCTTGGTACCCTTGGCTGTCTGCATGGGCCGTCTTAGAAGCTCGGGGCGCGGATCCATTAGTTTCGACGAGGGCTCGTGGCCCCGGGAACGCGGACCCATCGTCGCGTTTAGGAGGGACCGTGGCTTCAGGAGGAGACGCACCATGATGGTACGAGAGGGGTGGGGTCCGCTATTGGAGTGCAGAAACCTTGCAGAGCAGCACCTGGCATTCCAACACGCTCAACGTGCCAGGGGGCACGGTGGCGGATACAAGACCGCTAAGACGGCGGGTTTGGCTGTTGCTCTGTTTGTGCACGCTTCCGACATTACAGTCAGGGGTTCACCATGGTTTGTTGTCGGCTCGACGTTGGGGTCCGCCAGCGCTCGGGCACGACAGCCTCCGTGAAGACCAGCGCCACGGTGATTGTCGCCGACATGGCTATTGCCACGGTCCTCGTCGCCAATGTTGCTAGAGCCTCTGTTGCTACCAGGACTGGGACTGACAGTGCATTGGCTGCCGCTGACTGGAGCGGTCAATCGGTGATTGCTTCGGCTCCTACGATGAAGGTTCCCGCTGTGGTCACTCCGATTGTGGTTGCGGTGCCGACTCTTGCTCACGTGCCAGACGCAGCCGCCACCGTTGACGACCCCAAGTTGCAAAACGTTCTCGGTGAACGGTTCGATTTGATGTAGGCGGGCCACCACGTGCTGATCAATGTCCCTCGTGGAATGACCGCTGAAAACGCATTGCTCCACTTGCAGGCCGATGCGCGCCGATTGGGTGGACACCGCGCGGATATGTACTGCCAAAAATTGAACATCACAGGGTCGTGGGCAGAGACCGAACAGGCCAGAGGATGGCAAATGATACCAATACAGCATGTCGCAACGTAGGATGTTCCACTATGGGTTGTTTTCGGTACTGTGGACTTGAACGTCTTCCATGAGCATACGGGCAGCGGCAAACTGTGCTTGAATGCGTACGTGGAGCATTCAGGGGCAAGCAGGGTTTGCCGCTGGAGGTCTGCTGGGACGGCTTGCCGCTGGAGGTCTGCTGGGGGAAGACGACTACGGCGACGCCAGCATTCTTTCGGCGTAGATGGCCAAGGTCCCTCTGTGACATCAATTGGAGCAGCAATCTTCGCATGATGTTTTCGTCCGTCTCCCTTGCTGGCTAAAATAAGCTGCGATGTTTGTCCAGGCCTCGTCCGCGGCAATATGTCGCGCTCCCTTCGGCGGTTGAGGCGTCAGTTTTGTTGTTGCTCCCAGTGCGCAGATAATTCGTCATCGGTGCATCGTCAACCACCGCAGCGATTTCGAGGAAGGGCAGTCCATTGATCTGACTCTGCGCATATCCTCAAACCCTTTTCTTCGGTCGCGTCGGGTATTTCATTATGCGCACCGTCGCAAGTCTCTTTTCTGCTCTCGCCTGTTGCGGATTTTGTTCACTAGATATGTTTACAAGCGTGGATGCCAAATTGTGGGGTCTTGCACTGCGCATGTGTAACGTCGAAGCCGCGTACGGCGAACCGCCGCCGCCCTCTGGGCCACATGCTGGCAAAGCTACAGGACTGTGTATTCCGTCAGCCGGAGAAGCAATTGAATGTGTGAAAGGCGAGGATGAGGTGGAAGAGGAGGAGGAGGAGGGGAGAGGAGGAGTAGGACTGAGACGAGGGTGGGTATGAGTCATGAGCATGAGGATGAGGATGACGAGGATGAGGGTCGAGAGGATGATGAGGATGAGGCTGAGGATGAGGATGACGGTGCAGACGACTCTGATGATGACGATGATGAGGATGATGATGATAATGTTGACGTTGATGGTGTTGGTGATGGTGATGATTATGGCGACGACGACGACGCCCTCGAAAATGATGATGGTGATGATGGTGATGGTGGTGATGGTTTGTGATGATGATGCTGATGTTAATGATGGTGGTGGTGGTTGTGATGGCGATTGTGATGACGATGATGGTGATGATGATGGTGATGCTGATGATGATGATGATGATGATGATGATGATGATGATGATGATGATGATGATGATGATGATGATGATGATGATGATGACGCTGGAACTGATGATGAGGAGGAGGAAGATGGTGGTGGTGGTGATGACGATGAATATGCTGATGTCGACGACAACGACGACAACGACGAGGACGAGGACGAGGAGAAGGAGGAGGAGAATGAGGATGAGGAGGATGGGGAGGAGGAGGAGGAGGAGGAGGAGGAGGAGGAGGAGGAGGAGGAGGAGGAGGAGGAGGAGGAAGAGGAGGAGGAGGAGGAGGAGGAGGAGGAGGAGGAGGAGTGAGAGGACAAGGCCTCTAGGTGGCCTCTTGCCTCTTGGGGCGCTTTTGGACCCTCCTGGAGGAAGCCTGAGGAATCCTGAGGACCGCCCTTCTGGGCGTTCAGGAGGAATCCTGATGAACCTTGCGGGCCCCTGCGGACTGCTAAGGAATCCTCGGGAATCTATAGGAATCCGGAGATTCTTGAAGACCCCTGATAAATTCTTGGAATTATCATGAGCCCCTGTCACTTCTCTTGAAGAGTCTGGGGGAATTCTGAGGGCCTGTGAGGGCCCATGACACCATCAACAACATCATCTCTCCTCTCCCTTCTTTCCTCCCCCCCCCGCCGCACATAACGCGGAGGAGGCGCTCTTCTCCGCCTTCCTCGCCGCGGCGAAGCCGTTCCTGGGCGCGGGTCTGCCGGAGCCCAGGCCGGGCCTGCTCGTCGCCATCGTCGTCTTCTCCCTTGCGATTCATGTTCGGACCCTGGGGCTTCTTTGCGCTTCTCTCACTCTCGAGCCACTTTGTCGATCAGCCATCGACCATTCCCAACGCCCGCCTCCAAGACGGCCAAAGTGACCCAAGATGGCCCCCACGTTCGCCCAAGACAGCTCGGATGACCCCGGCCCAAGATGGGCCTAACATGTTATCAAACCCACCCAAGATGCCCCCAAAGAGGGCTTTATCTAAGAGGACCTCCAGGAGGCCAAAAACACTGATTTCCTTCACGTTGTTCAATGATTTTGCGTTCTCGCCTTTTCGGGCTTCCGACGCTCGCCCCGTACGCCACTAAGATTCCCCCGCGACGGCCCCAGAGGCCCCCAAGAGGCACGGCCCACGAGGACCCCAAGACGGTCTAAGAGGTCCCCAAGACGGCCCCTATAGATTTCCAAGACGGCCCTGCAGCGCCCAGAGAGGGGCCCGCGATTGCCCAGAGTGCCCCAAGACGGCCTCCGTAGGCCAAGAGGTTCTTCAGCAGCTCCCAGAGGCCCCTGAAAGGCCTTCTAAGAGGCCAGTTGGAGGTCCCCGAGATGCTCCCAGGAACCCCCCAGGAGGCCCCAAGAGTGCCGCAAGAGGCCCATGCTGTTTTCTTGTATTATTATTATCATTATCATTATTATTATTTTTATTATTATTATTATTAATATTATTATTATTATTAGTATTATTATTATTATCATCATTTTTATTACTACTACTATTATTACTATTGTTGTTGTTATTAGTATTATTGTTAGTATTATTATTAGTATTAGTATGCTTATTCTTCTTCTTCTTATTATTGATATTATTGATATTATTATGATTCCTCCTCCTCCTCCTTTCAAGACCCTTTCAATAAGGGCTCCGCAGCGCCCCAGGGCGGGGCGCTGTAGCCCGTCAGACCAGCGCCTGCTGGTGGGCGCCGAACGGCTTCTCCTCGAACTTCTTTGCGACGGGCGCCCCTCCTTTGCTCGCGAGCTGAGGGGCGCCCGACCTTCTCTTCTTTTTCTTTTGTTGTCGAACGCGACGAACTGGCCCCCCCTCGGTGGCCGCCAGCCTCCTCCACCTGAGGAGGGCGGCACGCTCACCACCCGAGGGGGCGATGGCGATGAGGAAGCCGCTGTTCAGGTTGGTTACCTCCGTGAAGTCCTGCTGGTGCCCGATGCTCTGCTGGTGCACGGTGCTCTGCTGGTTCCCGTTGGTGTGCTGCTGGTTCTCGGGGGTTGCTGCTGGTTCCCGTAGGTGTGCTGCTGGTTCCCGACGGCGCGGGGTCAGGGTCATCGGGATCGATCTCGTCCTCTGGGGGGTCGGGCGCGGCCTCGAAGATGGACCGCACCTTCTTGCCCCTCGTCGTAGGGGTTGGTGTGGTGGTATTCCTTCTGCGTCCTCCTGCGTCCTCCTGCACGATCTTTTCCTCGTCCTCGCCGTCAGCTCGCACTTCGACGCCGGCCAGGATCGCCTCGATTCGGGCGGGGATGGGAGGCGAAGGCTCCATGGCGTCTTTGGAGGCGGCCATGGAGGCGAAGGCTGCGGCGTTGGGGCGAACGATTCCCGCCGCCTGGAGTGCTGCAGTGGCTGCGGCATGCCATTGGGGTGTCGTTCGGGGGTCGGGGGTCGTGGGACCTCTAGGTCGTTGGGCAGGGTCGTCGGGGGAGGAACGTCGGGGGAGGGGCGTCGTGGGGTCGTCGAGGGGGGCCGCGTGTCGTGAGGCTTGGGGCGTCGAGGGGGGGGCGGTGGTCTTCGAGGGTCATGGGTCTCCTGGGGCACGCCGTCGGACATGGTGTCCTGGGGCGTGGCGTCGTGGTCGGCGCCGCTGTCAGAGTCCTCCTGGTCGGAGTCGTCGTCGGCTGGGCCGTCAACCGCGTTCTCCCCACCAAGCTCCCTGTTCGTGCCGTGCAGCGCCTGGTGGGTCTTGCTGTCGTAGCCGTCGAAGCCGCCGTAGTCGTAGCCGTGGTAGCTCTCGTGGTCATCTGGGTCCGCGTCGGAATCGTCCTCTATCTTCTCGGTGGCGGTGCCCGTGGCAGCAGAGCCGCTCAGAGCATCACGAAGAAGAGGGGGAGCGGCCGATCGTGCTCTCCGCATTTCGTCCTCCATCTCCTCCTTGCTGGGCGGGGGGCGGAGGCTCGGCCGCCAGCCGTCGTTGGAGCGGAGGTCGCTGTTGCCGACGTAGCCGCGCTCGTTGGTGGAATCGTAGCCGCCGTTGTCGTGGTAGCCGTTCTCCGTCATCCCGAACGCCTCCACGAAGGGCGACTCCTCCGCATCCTCGGACTGGTCTGGGTCCCCGTGGTCGTAGCCGTCGGGGTCGCCGTGGTTGTAGCCGTCGTAGCCGTCGTCCTCGTAGTCCCGGCTCCGGCGCGCGACGGCCGCGCGGAGCGCCCGCTCCGCCACCTGGGAGAGGTTGGCGTCCGTCGGGTAGGCGACGCCAGGCACGCTCCGCGCGCCGTGATGGGCGGCCTCGGCGGCGGCTCCACTCAGAGGTGTTGGCGGCGAGGCGGTCCAGCAGCCCGATGATACCTCCACGACAATGTATTTGTAGTTGGCCCCGGGGAGGCTCGGCCGTCCGAGGCGGGGGCCCGCCGCCGCCTTGGCAAGCGCAGCCTGGGTGGCGTGCGTGAAGCCTCCCTCCGGGGCGTCGGCGGCGTGCCATGCCGCGTTGCGCCTCCGACGCGCGGCGCCTGGCACCCTTCTACGAGATGCAAGGGCCTGGAGCGCTGGTCGCGAGGCGTCCTCGCGGTCCCGCCAGGACCCCGGCGCGTGGTCGTTGCTGCCGAGTGGTCCGGGCAGCCAGCTGTTGGTGCGGCCGCCCCCCGTAGCCATGATCCGCGCGCGCGCAGGGGGAAAGAGACTGAGTCGCTCTCTGTGCCTGCCGAGATGACAGGGCTCTACAGGGAGAGGCACGGCGCGCTCCTCCTGCCACGCGCCCAGGCAGGCTTGAGCCAAAATGGCTACGGACTTTCCTCCTCCTGCTCCTCCTCTTCCTCCTCCTCCTCCTCCTCCCTCTCATCCTCCTCCTTTCTCTTCTTCTCCCACCTGTCCCCCCATGGGGTTCCACAATGGCTGGGGGAACACACTGCCCAATAGTTTTGCCAGACTTTGCCCAACATTTGGCCGCATGGGCGTTTCCAAGAAGGAGCTGGAACATGTCAACAACATCTGGCCGTGCTTCCCGCGTCCCCCGCGCGCCCGCAGCCAACCGCCCAGGTTCGGGCCGCACTTGCACCGCTGGAGCTCGGCCTTCCCGGGCACCGCCCTGCCGGGGCCCGTGGCGGCGGACGGGGTGTGCCTCACAGGCAGCGAAGGGGGGGGGGGAGGGTCGGGCGGGGGCGATCGCAGCCTGCTCCGCCCAGAGATGGAGGGCGGGACTAGGATGAGAGACCCGTGTAAATCCACGGCGCATCAACGATGTTGCGATGAACCCTGCTTCCGAGCTCCCTCTTCACAGGTCTCTGCAAGATTTGTTGCGTCATTGCAGGAAGTGTGGCCCATTGGAAGACAACCGTCTGAGAATCCATAATCGTGCCAAAACACCATTCCTGGGACTTCAACGCGGCGGATGAACGTGCCTGTTGCGCCTTGACAACCCCAAATCGTGCCAGCATGACGTTCTTGGGAGTTCAATACCGCGATAATTGTTGCGCCCTGGCAATCCCAATTCTTGTCAGAACACCGCCCCTGGGACCTCCATCGCACGAAGCCTTGGAACGGTCACAAAACCAATGCGCACGGCGCTGAAGCGAACACCACAATTTAAAAAGGAGCCGCCCTCCATATTTGACATGTGCTGCAAAATGATCAGACGAATGCTCGCGGCGTTAAGGGGATAATCACATGTTGACAAGGAGCCGCCCTCCATCCTTGGAGCTGCTGCGCACCTTTAGGACAAGTGTGCGCTGTGCTGAAGCGAGAGCCACGCTTGAAAAAGGACATGGTCTCCACACTGGAAGTTGCTGCAAATTGTTAAGTCGAATGTGTGCGGGGCTGGGGCGAGAGCACATTCTGAAACTTACCCGCCCTGCATCCGCGAAGCTGCTACGATCTGTTTACATGAATGCGTGCGGTGCTCAGGCAAGATTACCTTTTTGATAAAGACCAGCCCCCTCATGGGTGATTTTTTTGCGTGCACGTTTCAAGCTGCAGTCGAGTACCTGTTCGCCAGCGTGGACCCCCATCAGTGTGTTTATAGAAGTCTATGCTGATGCATGCGATGTGAAACAATAAATGTGGTGCTACGTGGCGTAACATATGTTATGCAATCGACATTGTGCAATGTACGTTGTGCAAGATATTTTGTATTTTGTTGGGCCATACGCGTTGTGTAATACATGTTGCTCAACCTACATTGTGCAATACATGCGGTGTCAATTATTGAATCGCTTCGCTCATTCCGCCGGCCCGTGATATGGCATCGCTGGTTTTTGTCTGTGTGTTCGTTGCCCATGTTGCGCTCTTGGGGGCGGGTGTCGTTCGGACGCGTTGCGTGGGGAGTTTTGATGGTGAAGCAGTTCCCTGGGGGTCGTCTCTCGATGGGGCGAAATAGAGTCGTCGTCAAGATGCTTCTTTGGGGGGCCTCTTGGGGTCTGTTGAGAGGCCGTTCGGGGGCGCCTGGGAGACATGTTTGAAGCCTTCTGGGGCTTCTTTTGGGCCTCCTGGGAGTCTCCTGGGGCCTCTTGGCGACATCTTGGGGCCTCTTGGAGGCCTCTTGGGGCCTCTTTGGGACCTCCTGGGCGCCTTCTGGGACGGAGGGCTCCATTTTTGAGTTCTCGGTATCCCTCCTGAGTCCCTCTTGGGCCCGTCTTGGGGCCTCTTGGTCCGTCTTGGGCGGCACTTGGGCCGTCTTGAGGGCTCTCTTGGGTCGTTTCGGCGCCGTCTTGGGAGCTTCGTGGGCCGTCTTGGAGCGGTCTTGGGGGCCTCTTGGGCCGTCTTGGAGCGTCCGGAAGCCGAAAAAGCCAGAACACAAAAAACATCGAAAAAACCAATGAAAATCAACGATTTTGGCCTCTTGGGGCTCTCTTCGGAGGCCTCTTGGAAGGCTCTTGGGGCGTCTTGGAGGCCTCTTGGGCTGTCTTGGGGGCCTTTTGGGCCGTCTTGGGGTCATCTTCGGCGTCTTCGAGCGCTCTTTGGGCGTCTCGGGGGCCTCTTGGGCAGTCTTGGGGGCCTCTTGGGGCACTCTGAGCGCGCTCTGGGGAGCCTGAGAGGCCGCACCCAGAAGGAAAACCATCTCTGAGTAGACTTGGTCGGGCGGCGGTCGGGCGGCGGTCGGGCGTTGGTCGGGGTACTTTTCGCCGGGGGACCCCCAGGGGCCGCCCCGCGCGCGCGAACTAGAAATACTGTTAATACTGCGGAGATCTTAGCACGCCCTGGCCCGTTGGGCCGGCGAATTTGGTGCAACCTATGTGGTGCACAATTTTTGTGGTGCAATCGGCGCGGTGCCATCTATGTGGTACAATCTTTGTGGTGCTATATAGAACTGTTGCACTATATGTAGTGCAACCGACGTGGTGCAGTCAATGTGGTGCAGTTCGCCCTGCCGAGCTTGAAGTTGTCAAGTCCATTGCTCGCGCAATCATCTCACCCACTTACCCGCAAGTTGGTTTGCAAAACCCATGCGGCGGCGATTGCGATGACTGTTCGGCACTGGCCAGCGCATCGCATCGGCTGCGGCCGCGCGACCATCAGTTTTGATATGTTTCGGACGATTATGTCTTGAAGCCCGTGCGAAATCTAAAGTGCTTGAACACTTGTGGCATGCGCGCGCGACGATGCGCGCGTGTCGACTTTGTCAAATGTTTTGCACGTGTTTGTTCAGCACGCATGATTGTTGATCATAGATTACGAGCGCATCGTATTATTTGACAGGGGTGAGGCGAGGGGCGAAAGCGGCACTCCATGGGATGACACGGTTTATACTCAAGACGAACGATGAGACAGGATCATTTGTAAATTGCAGGGTCCCAAGGGTTAGCGTTAATCCGGGGGGGTCCGAATTTCATTCTAGACCGGGGACTATATGTTGTGCAATTTGTTCCGGAGATCCTTCCATTGTTCGCGCAATCATCCCACCCATCCACCCGCATTTTGGTTTGCAAAACCCATGCGACGGCCGTTGCGATGACTTCGTGGCGCTGGTTGGCGCATCGCTGCCGCCGTGCTGGCGCGCGCAGGCTCGCGCGCAGAGCGATCAGTTAGTATGGCGCGACCGACGCGGCCGCGGCTGCGCTGACCGCTGGAGACTTCCCAGCGCGTCTCGCAGGCCGCGCTGGCGCGCGGGCGCTTCATTGCGAATCGGTGACTCGGGCGGGCGCGGTATCATGGCGACGTCGACAACGGCAAACATGATGATAGTAGCGATGCTGGTGGCGATGGCGGCGATGACGACGACAAGGGAAGGACGACGTAGGAGTAATCAGAGAAAAAAGAAAAATAAAGATGATGATGATGAGGAGGAGGAAGAGGAGGAGGAAGAGGAGGAAAAGGAGGAGGAGGAGGAGGAGGAAGAGGAGGAGGAGGAGGAGGAGGAGGAGGATCTGTCGCCCCCCCGTCGGAGGAGGAGGACGAGGAAGCTGAGGACAGGGCTGAACCGGAGCATTGGCGTGGTCATCTGACCATAGAGGGAGCAATTGTTTTCCCGTCTCCCTCCCCCGCGTTCCGTAGCTATTTCCGTTCAGGCTGCATTGCATTGCTGCGCATTGCGTTGCACTGAAGCATTCGATGGCTTCGGGATCGGGGCGGCGCCCGTGGCTGATAGAGTCGCCAGACCCACGCTGGGAACGGGTTGGGCGACAGCAATTGTGGGATCGCGTTGGGCCCAGGCTTGCGCCCCCAATGTTGTCAACGGGCTCCTGTGCCAGTTTAGGGGGGGCGCATCGACCCCCAGTCGCCCACTCATCACCAACAGTGACCCGATTGCCCACTCCACCGAGGAACGTGCGGTTTTGCTATCGACGCCATATCGCCGACTTTTCGGCAACGTATCTCCGACTAAATCTCGACGTGTCCCCTCTGGGCTTGGTCCCCGTATCGCTGCCCCTCAGGTGGACGGGGGGGCGGGGGCGCCCTATCCCCGGGAACCTCTTCCCCCGATGGGCGGAGGATGGTCGAGGAGAAAAGGATCGAGGTTCTAGGATCGAGGGAGGAAGAAGAGGAGAAGGAGGAGGAGGAGGAGGAGCATGAAGAGGAGGAGGAGGATTTAGGGTCGATGATCAACGATAGAGGAGGAGGAGAACGAGGAGGAAGACCTGGGAAACCCCATGCTGACCAACGATGTAGCAATAACCCCCCTATCCAGGTTCCTCCTTCAAAGGTTCCTACAAGGATTTATTTTCACTGAAGAAAGTGCCCCGTCGGAAGACAACCGTTTGGAAATCCGGACCCGTGCCAAAACACCATTCCTGGGACGTCACGCCGCGAATCAACGTTAGTTCTGCGCCCTGACGATCGTGAATCGTGCCAGAAAGCCGTTCTTGCGACTTCAACAAAACGAAACAGAGTGACTGTTGCGCCCTGGCAGACTTACACCGTGCCAGAACACCTTTTCGGGGACGTCGGCCGCGGGAATCCTTAAAAGAGCTGTAAAGTCTTAAGACGAATGTGCGCGGCGCTGAGGCGAGAGCTAGAATTTGAAAAAGAATCGCGCTACATCTTTCGAGCTAACATTTCAAAACGAATGCACACGGCGCTAAAGTGAGAGACATGTTGAAAAGGAAATGCCCCCTCCATCTGTTGAGCTCTTGCAAACGTTTGAGACGAATACGCGTGGCGTTAAAGCGAAAGCCACATGTTCAAAACGACCCGCCCTCCATCCGTGAAACTGTTGCACATTCTGAGCTTACGGATCACCCATGGTGAGGAAGTCTCAGGCGAAACGCCCGGCCCGCCTTACCAACACGTCTCTGGGTGCGACAGGGAGGAGTTATTTCATAAGGAAGGGATGGGGGAGGAGGAGGAGGAGGAAGAGGAGGAGGAGGAGGAGGAGGAGGAGGAGGAGGAGGAGGAGGGCGAGGGGGAGGAGGAGGGGAGGAGGATCGAGGGCCCCCTAACGCTGCCCAACATCGAGGAGCCCGCCAGCGCCCAGGCGACTTTGTCGGCGAGCCGACGGGCAGCGTGGAGGCCGCAATGCGCGGGGGCGTGAGCAGCGGGTTGCGGGCCCAGAGCGTGCCGTGACGTGGGTTGAGATATGGCGTGAGGGGGGAAGAAGGGGGATGACGAGTAGGGTGAGGCGGGGAGGGAGGGAGGAGGAGAGGAGGAGGAGGAGGAGGAGGAGGAGGAGCTTGGAGGAGGAAGGGGAGGAGGAGGAGGAGGAGCTGGAGGAGGAAGATGAGGAGGAAAAGGGGGAGGTGAAGGAGGAGGTGAAGGAGGAGGAGGAGTTTGGAGGGGGAATGGGGGAATGGTGGAGGGGGAGAAGGAGGGGGAGAAAGACGGGAGGAGTAGAAGCAGGAGGAGCAGGAGGAGGAAAGGGAGGTGAGGGACAGGAGGGGTGGCGGGAGAGAAGGGGGGGAATGAGGAAGAGGAGCAGCGAGGAGTGAGAATCAAGCAGAAAAAAGGAGGGAGGAAGATAGGGGAAGGAGGGGAAGGAATGATAGGACGAAGGGCAAGGGGGAAGAGGAGGTAAAGGAGCAGATGATTGCCCTACCCAGCGGTCACTCGGAGTTCCGGACCAGTTGATCTGACCTCCACCCTCCGCTCGAAACCGAGTGAGCGAGAGAAAGGCATGAGAGATAAAGAGCAAGAGAGAGAGAGAGAGAACGATGCGAGAGAGTGTGAAAGGGATGCTATAGACAAATATATTGGATATTCTGAGAGAGCATATATGACATGTATATATATGTGAATATATATATATATATATATATATTCCCTTTTTCTATATGTTTATAATCCTGGGGGGTGGGACCCCCCCCCCCCCGAAATAGGGTCCTCCCCAACCGGGACTTCCGGAAACGGGACCCCTCACGAGGATCGCAGCCTCCGAGCGCGAAAATTAGCGCTCCCCGTCCAAAGAGGAAGGTGAGAGGACACGCGAGGCTCCTTGGACCTCCCGAGAGGCTTTCTCGAGGCTCCTACGAAGGCCCAAGAGGGTCCCAAGAGCCTTCCAGAGTCCTCCGAAGAAGCCCCCGAGAGATGAAAATCAGTGATTTCCTATGGTTTTTCTAAGATGTTTGCTTCTTTGCATGTTCACTGTTCCGACGTGCCAAGACGGCCGAAGACGCCCACAAGACCGATGCCAGACGGCTCAAGAGGCCTCCAAGCGAGTCCGAAACCGGCCCAAGACAGCCCCGACACGGCCCAAGGGGTGCCCAAGACGGCCCCAGAGAGCCCCAAGACGGCCTTCAGAAACGGCACCCCTCACGAGGATCGCAGCCTTCCAGCGCGAAACTGAGCGATCTTCGTCCGAAGAGGCACCTACGAGGGTACGCGAGGGTCCTCGGGTTGCCTTAAAAGCTTCTTAAAGGTTCCCCCGACAGCTTGAGAAGGCCCCACGAACCTCGCAGAGTTCTCTGAAGAAGGCCCCAAGAGATCAAAATCATTAATTTCCTATGGCTTTCCTAAGATTTTGGCTTCGTTGCATGTTCACTGTTCCGACGTGCCAAGACGGCCGAAGACGCCCACAAGACCAATCCCAGAGGGCCCAAGCAGCCTTCAAGCGAGTCCACAGCCGGCCCAACAGAGCCTCCAGACGGCCCAAGCCGTGCCCAAGACGGCCCCAGAGAGCCCCAAGACAAGCTTCAGAGAGAGCTTAAAAGGGAAAAAACATACAATTGCAACGCGCTCGGCTCCCACACGGCCACGCGAGGCCCCAAGCCCCTTCCAGGAGGCCACAAGAAGGGCCACAAGGCGCGCAAAAGGCTTATGATTTCAAGGACTCTGCACCCAGACGCCCACACGAAGCTCCAAGACTCCTCAACGGCTCCCCAGACGTGCCACGAGGCGCCCAAGAGCCGCCAAGAAGCATTCACGAAGTTCCCCCACGACGCCCCACAAGGCCTCTAAGAACCTCCACGAGTTCTCCGAAGAAGGCCTTTATAATCCTGGGGGGTGGGACCCCCCCCCCCGAAATAGGATCCTCCCCAACCGGGACTTCCGGAAACGGGACCCCTCACGAGGATCGCAGCCTCCGAGCGCGAAAATTAGCGCTCTCCGTCCAAAGAGGAAGGTGAGAACGAAGCCCATACATAACGTTCGTAGAGCCTGCCTGTCCCAAAGTCGCGTCAGCACGCCTCCCCGCGCCCCCCCTGCCTCATATTTTGCAGTATAAAGCTGCATTCTGGTCAGAATCCTGGGCTCGCACCCTTTTTTAAAGAAATTTGGTTGCGAGCCCGGGATTCGATAAGTTTCCCTCTGAAGTCCTTTTCTTGCATTACATTTGCCCCTTTCGTTGCTTCGAACACCAAGTTCTCCCACTCCCCCTCCGCAACCTCTGCACATTCGCAATGCGAGCCCGCGAGGACCCCTCGAAGGGACCGCAGGATACCGCGAGAAGCCAGCCGATCCAAAGCTTCACGGAACAAGATGCATGGCGCGAAGCGCCTATGCAGCCTTGTATATATACATATATATATATATGTATATATATATATATATGTGTAGGTAAATGCATGCGTTTACCTACGTATCTATATATATATATATATATACATATATATATATATATATATATATATATATATATATGTGTGAGTGTGTGTACTCAAGAGGCTTACGCCATGTCGCCGACCCCCAGAGGATGATGGCGGAGGTGATGATGAGCATGACGACGAAGTACTGGACGATTAAGAAGTCCACGGTTGAGGCCTTGCGGGGCCTCAGATTGGGATTGGCCTTTTGCATTCTGTCCCTGAGGACTGAGGACTGGAAGGACCTGAGAAAACACCAACTCGTGCCTCAGGGCACGGTGGCGGATAACTACTTGTCTTATATACATGCACGCATATATACACATTCTTCTTTCTGTATTTTCAGTAGGCGGGCGGGGCGGGAAAAAACATACCCCCCCAAGAAACAAGAAATCAAAAAACATACCCCGGATCTGGAACCTTTGGGGGCCCCTGAACGCCCTTTGAAAGAGGCCTCCCAGCCCTGCAGCGCCTCCCCGGGCGCATTGCTGGACCTTGCCAGCAAGCTCCTAGCGATCAGAAAACAAGTCGGAGAGGCGCAGGAGAGCGCAACGGCAGCGCAAGGCGGCCCAAAAGCCTGCGAGATCGCCACAAGGCGGCCCCCCAAGAGGCCCCCAAGAGGGCGTCAAGCCAGGCCAAGGGGACCCCAAGACAGCCCCAAGATGGCCCAAAAGAAGCTTACGAAACCCCCAGAGGCTCCCAAGGGCCATGGGAGGTCCCCAAGAGGGCCCCAGTTTTCCAGGAGAGCGCCACGGCAGCGCAAGACGGTCTCAAGACGGCCCAAGAGGCCCCAAAGATGGCCCAAGAGGCCCCAAAGACGCCCCAGGAGGCCTTCAGGAGAGCCCCCAAGAGGCAAACATCGTTTCATTCCAAAAGGAAAACGAACATGTTTAGCATATTCGCTTTTTGTGTCGTAGCAGCCTGCGAGATCGCCACAAGGCGGCCCCCCAAGAGGCCCCCAAGAGGGCGTCAAGCCAGGCCAAGGGGACCCCAAGACAGCCCCAAGATGGCCCAAAAGAAATGCACGAGGCTTTCAAGGGCTCCTATGAGAGACCCACGAGGGTCATGGGAAGTCCCCAAGAGGGCCCCAGTTTCTCAGGAGAGCGCCACGTCAGCGCAAGACGATTTTCAGACGGCCCATGAGGCCCCCAAGACGGCCCAAGAGGCCCCAACGACGCCCCAAGACGCCTTCGGGAGAGCCTCCGGGAGGCAAACATCCTCTCATTCCCGAAGAAAAGCGAGCATGTTTAGCATATTCCCTGTTTGTGTCGTAGCAGCGTCCATGACGGCCCAATAATCCTGCGAGATCGCTGCAAGGCGGCCCAAGAGGCTCCCAAGAGGGCTTCAAGCCAGGCCGGGACCCCAAGACAGCCCCAAGATGGCCCCAAAAAGCTCACGAAGCTTTCAAAGGCTCCCAAGAGAGACCCACGAAGGCCATGGGAGGTCCCCCACAGGGCCCAAGTTCCCCAAGAAAGCCCCAAGACGGCCCAAGGGGGACCCAAGACGGCCCACACGGGTTCCAAAAGGACCCCCAAGAATAGAGAGGCGTTCGTGAGGCCCTCAATCCAACGAGGTGCCCCCGCAAAACCCGCAACTCCGCACGAATACTGCAGACCGTCTGCAACTCAATCCACAAATTGTGCGTGCCCTGAAGCGTCACGTCGTCCACGCCAACCCGTGCATGACGGCTATTCACCAGCTGACCACCCTCACCACGTCGCGCTGACCCGACAAAGTTCTGCAGCTCGACTGGGGCGAAGGCGTCCAAGAAATTGCTGGTATACTCGACTCCGCCGGTGGAGCTCGCGCGTCTCCTCGATCGGTGCTCTTCCGTCTCCACAAGTCCGAGCAGTGCGATTAAATTACTTCCCTCAGCGGGCTCTACGAGCCACTTTCCAGGCGGCGACCCGGCGCAGGCGTTCGGAATGGACGCGGCCAGTGGTCAGGACTCGGCCAGCGTTGAACGGGGATGCGCGATCGTTCACGTCTTGAACGATCCAGGCGGTGTCACACATCGACGCGCAGGCCGTTGCGAAACCAGCCAGCGCAGGATCGCGCGAAGAAGGCACGAGATTTTGATTCGGTTTTCTTTCGGAGCCTCCAGGTGGGGTTCTCGCGCCACGTGATCGGATCCGCCTCGAAATTCGAATCAAAATGCGCCCCGAGGACAACTGGGGTGGCGCACGGATCTGTAAAGCGAGGGCAAAGACAAATAGGAACGGGTGAGGGGACTGGACGGGAAACGGTCGAAGTTCAAAGGCCAAAGAGGATGGCACTTCCCGCAGAATGCTGCAATGCAATGCGAAATCATCTGCAATGTCTTTGGGGATGCACCGAATCCCGGGCCCGCCACGGATTTCAAGGGAATTGTGTTGCGAGCCCGGGATTCGGGCCAATTTGGTGAATTTCGTAGGAGACGCTTTCTGAAAGACGCACGATCATGCAAAGGAATGGCGTTCAGGGTCCTTCGCGTGGACCACACGGGCTCGCTCGTGGCCCAAGTCGCCCAGTCGCGCAATGCAAGGCAATGGAAAGCAACGCCTCAT